AGAAACTTCTGGGCAGGGCAAAACCATATATCATGTCTATCATAAAAATGACTCTGACGTTATCATGCAGGGTCAATGTGTGATGAGCTGAAGTCATTCTAAGTTAGCTTGTGGTCAACTCTTCTCTTTCGAAAGTCCTTCTGAAGGAGGTTTACTACAGGTATCAACAGCAGATATGTGAATCACCACTTCAACATACAAAGCAAGTGGGTATTTTGCTTGAAAAACTGCCAAGAGGTGCTGTACCAATTACAAATATTTCTGCCACAAATTCCCTTGTTTGTAAAGGATCAATGCCAAATTTGTTCACTGTCAACATGTCCAGGTATATAACTTTGGAATCCACCATATAATGAAAGACAAAAGGACTGGAACATGAGATCAACCTGATTCCAATAAGTGTTTATGAATTATCACTACATGTGAAATTGCTGTGAAATATGAAGCCTTTTCATAGAAGTTATTTCAACTTAAACTTGTTTAAAAATGACTATTAAAAAGTCACACCCAGCTGGGCTCGGTGGCTCAGACTGTAATCCCGTGCTTTGGGAGGCTGAGGTGAGTGGATTACCTGAACCCACAGGTTCGAGACCCGCCAGGGCAACTTGGCAAGACCTCATCTCTACAGTAAATCAAAAAATCAGCCGGGCATGGTAGTGCGTGCCTGTAATTCCGGTTACTCGGAAGGATGAGGTGGAAGGATCACTGGAGCCCAGCAGGTCAAGGCTGCAGTGGCCGGGAGCGGCCACTGCACTCCAGTCTGGGCGACAGAGTGAGACTCCAACTCAAAAAAAAAAAGTTACATCATCAGGCACAGTGGTTCATGCCTATAATCCCAGCACTTTGGAAGGCTTAGGCAAGAGGATTGTCTGAGCCCATGGGTTCAAAACTCAGCAAGACCTTGTCTCTACAATAAAACAAAAAAATTAGCTGGGCATGGTGGCACGCACATGTGGTTCCAGTTACTGGAAGGCTGAGGTGGAAGGATCACCTGAACCCAGCAGATCAAGGCTGCGGTGGTTCTGAGTGTGCCACTGCACTCCAGCCTGGATGACAGAGTGAAACTCTGACTTAAAAAGAAAAGAAAAAATTACATCAAACATGGCAAGTAATAATTTGCACATTATATAAAAATGTTATAATATATGCTCAATGATATAAAAAACATACAAATTAATATGAATATTAATTTCCCTATGACTAACTGGCAAAAATACAAAAAAATTACAAAAAGTGCAAGCACAGTTAGTAAATAAATATGTGAGGAAAGTGTTTAACCTTGATGATGCTCAAAATAATATAAATTAAAACACCAGTGAAATATTGCATTACACTAATTAAATTATGGGGAAAAACCAATTAGATGAACAAATCCTGGCAAGATTGTGGTAAAACTGGCATAGATAAATTGTTGGTAGTCTATCAAGTTTGACAACTAGTCAATGTTTATCAAGAGACGTAAAAAAATATACATACCTTTAACTAAGAATCATATTCATGGTAAATTATCAAAAAAAATTCAAAATTTAAAAATATTTTTTAAATCCTTGCTAATTAAAATAATCATCATGAAAACATTATAAACAATCAAAGTGTGACAAATAGAAGTCTTGCAGATCAATTTGAGGATCTATCACCCCAACAATTAAAAATATTATATTAGTCTTTGTAGCCACATATTAATATTTACTTAAAGCCCAATAGAAAATGATATGTATGCTATAATCATAACTATACTAAATATGCAAATTCATGTTATGAATAAGTACTATAAGAAAAAAAATGTTAGCCATGCTCGGTGGCTCAGCCTGTAATCCTGCACTTTGGGAGGCTGAGGTGAGTAGATTGCCTGAGCCCGCTAGTTCGAGACCCACCTGGGAAACTTGGTGAGATCTCATCTCTACAATAAATCAAAAAATTAGCCAAGTGTGGTAGTGTGCGCCTGTAGTTCTGGCTACTTGGAAGGTTGAGGCAGAAGGATCGCCGGAGCCCAGCAGGTGGAGGCTGCGGTGGCCGGGAGCGGCCACTGCACTCCAGTCTGGGCGACAGAGTGAGACTCCAACTCAAAAAAAAGAAAGAAAGAAATGTTAAACTTGGTGAGGTAGTAAAATTCTATCTGATTTACCCTTCTTTTATATTCTTATCATTAGGCAAGGTGCAGTGGTTCATGCCCAAAATCCCAGCTACTTGGGAGACTGAAGTGGGAGGATTGCTTGAGGCCAGGAGTTCAAGACTACCCTGGGCAACATAGACTCTGTCCCTTCAAATAATAATAATTAGCCAAGTATGGTGCCACCTACCTGCAGTCTTAGTCACTCAGGAAACTGAAGCAGGAGGATCGCTTGAGCCTAGCAAATTGAGGTTACAGTGAGCTATGATCACAACACTGCACCCCCACACAAGCAACAGAGCAAGACCCTATCTCTAGAAACTAAAAAAGGAAAGAAACTCATTCGTACATTTATACTAATTTCCAGATATCTTAGTAATAAAAACATTTTCATAGGATATGTTAGGATTATATTTACAGTACTAACTTACCTAGTAATGTGCCTCATATAAGTCAAGACAAAAAACTGTATGCTAGCTGCAAAAATAAAACCAATTTCAGCTGATTACAACAATCATTATTACTATACTAATGTATAGTGTCTGCCATAAAGTGGGAGATAAGATTGGAAAGATGAATTGAAATGTTATTTGGACTGTCTGATTACAGAGGATGAGCTTTATCTGATAGTTGTAAGGATCAGACCCTTAAAAAAGTTTTAGTGGGGCAATGAAATGCCCAAACCAGTATTTTAAGAAGGTAAGTTTGGTATCAGTATGCGGGATATTGGAGGAGAAAGAAACTACCAAATAAACATCTGGAAGACAAGAATCCAGATAGAGTGGTATTTAGGAAAGAAAAAAGCCACAGCACCTATGACATATGGATATTTGAATATATAGAATAAGAATAAAAATAAGAATCCTAGCCGGACTCGGTGGCTCAGCCTGTAATCCCGCGCCTTTGGGAGGTCGAGGTGACTGGATTGCCTGAGCCCGCGGGTTCGAGACCCGCCTGGGCAGCGAGACCTCATCTCTACAATAAATCAAAAAATCAGCCGGGTGTGGTAGCGCATGCCTGTAATTCCAGCTACTCGGAAGGCTGAGGCGGAAGGATCGCTGGAGCCCAGCAGGCGAGGCTGCGGTGGCTGGGAGCGGCCACTGCACTCCAGTCTGGGCGACAGAGTGAGACTCCAACTCAAAAAAATAAAATAAAATAAGAATCCTACCAAAACATCATTGATAGCATAGCATGATTATGCTTATAAACTTTAAAAGACACACACACACACACACACACACACACACACACACACACACACACACACCATTTCCTAGTTTAGAAGCCATTGTTCTCATGGAGTCAACATCAACTTCCACATAGAAAAAAATGCCTTCCATGGGGTCCCTCCGCCACCTCCTTTCAGCTCATGAGTCTAATTGCTAACATTCTTCCTCCTCCAACTTGTGTGTGCTCTCTCTCTCTCTCTCTCTCTCTCTCAGTCTCTCTCTTTCACACACACAGACACACACACACACACGCACGGTGTTTTATAGACTCATGTTTCACGTGGTTTCTAAAAAAAGACAATCATTTGATCATTTAATAAGCCCCCCTGCTTGGCCGTTGCTGTATCATCATCATACCTAATTTTCAAGGCAAGCCTGCTGTAATGAATTTTTATTCTTACATTACAGAGGAAAAAACTGGAGCTCAGCGACATTTAGAGACTTGATCAAGACCAGAGAGAGATAGAAAGAGAACTCAAAAATAACATTTTTCACTTCAATATTTTTGCTGTTTACAAAACACCACATTCCTTATTTCTTCTCATTCTAAAGATAATTCTGTCATCAGTGAGAAGCAGAGTTTTTCAAACATAGCTTCTTAGATAACATTATTTGAAGCTGTTTGGGCTAAACTTGGGTATGGAGACATTTTTCTTTCAAAATACCAGTTTTCTCAATGTTCCCTGTAATCGGCAAGATCCTACTTCCCTAAAGAGTATACCGAGTCATCTTTTCTCAGAAACAAATGTTAAATGCGTATCCCTGCCATGTCTGAAATCACAACTTTGGAAAACAAGGAGAGGCAGAGAAATAACAAAAGCAGTTAATGTTCAATCTGCATTCAAGACGCTATCTGTTCATGGAAGGAAAAAAAAAATCATGTTAATATTAAACACTTAAGTAATCCAACTGTGACTTACTAACATGGTTTGATGCTTTTACCTAGAAATAGGTCCACCTAAAGAGTGAATTGAGAATCGTGCCCATTGATTTTATTGGTTCATGTTGACCCTCTCTTCACCAAAAAACAAAGAAGCAAACAAAGATTTACTCAAAGAGATTCTTGCAAGAGGGTCCAACTGAAATTTCTTACAAAAGTTTGGCTATCTCGAATCAACTATATTTGGATATTACAATATCTAGAAAATTCCATGGGAAAAAAAAAAAACACATTCATTATTCATTTAACACTCTTATCTTCTCTTTCAAGCCCGGGATGTTATTTTAGTGTTTTGTTTGAGACTATGTGTGTGTTGTAGGGAAGGAGGCGAGTTATGCTTACCACAACAAACATGACGGTGAAAATCTGGAGAATGCTAGCTTTGGGTCACCAGCTTTATCTGCAGATAAAACCCTGCACAAAACAGATAATGACTTGCTTTTCTCCTATTTCACATGTATTTCCCCCAGCTCACCAAAATGATTGTCTTCAGAGTCCATGTCCATTATTTCTTTACTGTCTTCCCTGCTATCAAGTTCTCTGAATAAATATAGGAGCTAAGTTACAATTAAAAATAATGAGACCCTACTGGGCCAATGTCCTTGCATGCAATAAAAGGGTGTGGACTAATTGCAGGAGCAGAAATGTTTCCCCTGATTTTGCTTCACTTTGATTGGTGGATTGGCACTTTAAATAAAGGCTTCTGATCTTCCCTGAATGAGAGGTACAGAGGGAGTCCCACGCACAGTCCAGAAAATATTTTAATCTTCTTTTCTTAGAACTACTTTGGTTGGCATCCTCAGGCCCTGAGAGCACAGTGCATGTCAGCATCTAAGGTAAAATGGATTTTATGATTTCCATGTGTTTCCTGTAAATTCTTTTTTCCTATCTCCAGGCAACTTTTATAAAGAGGATTTATCTTCATTTGTCACCATAAGCTTATTGTAATTGCTTATTGTAATCCATTAGCATGTTCTAGAGAAAACATGACCTAATACCCATTCAACTAAGGAGGAAAAAAAGGCTTATCTATATAGACTTTTTTTTCACTATTTATGATGATTAGTGACAGGGTCTAATTTTAAAAAGTATTAGAAGATGAGTCAATTTCTTGGCTGGTCAGCTCTCCATTTGTGAAAGAGTAAAGAGCCTTTTGAATTTAGAGAATAAATTGAAAGAGATAGTTCATTTTAGAAAGAGTGCAACTAAATTTTGAGACATATTTTTCACTAATATAAAAACATTAAAATATTCAATTTACCCTTATCTGAGCAAGATTAGTCTTGACATGGTTATGTAGATAACCTAAACATCAAATGATATACCACATATGTCTGCAAATAAAGATTCTTCATGAAATGAATCTTAGTTGCATTACATTTCCAATGCATTTCCAAGCTTGTCCTAGAGGATAAGCAAAGTATAAACTTCTATGAATGATGCTTTATACACCAATATTTCACTTCGTGAAAGAGATTTTTTAAATTCATGATTCATTTTACAAAATGAAATATGGTATTTAAAGAATAATGGAGGTTGTTCCTATGTGTTTACTTAGATTGTAGCTCCATGGGGGGAAAAGTGCTTATGATATTTTTTTAATTGCTTATCAATCCATTTCAGAAACTACCAATTACAAATCAGTTGTTTAGTAACATTGTTTTTTGTTTCTTTAACCTTTAACTTGATTGTTTTCCGAAGAGCAGAGACTTGTGCTAAATTTTTTTTTAATTGTCTTTTAACCATTCTGAAATAAAAATTCATTTCATTTAATTCTCCAACCCAATTATATGTTAGATTCCACTCTTCAAAATGAAGGACCTGATCCTGATCCTTTGTCTCCTGGACATGGGTTTCGCTGTGCCGGTAAGTCAGTCTTCTAGAGTGTTCTCTAAAAGAGGCTCCTGACTGTTGGACACCAAATGACACCATAGAGACATGGGGTGAGAGGCCACGTGTGAACTCATTTGACTTAACCCAGTGGCATAACACTATTGACTCAAAAGCCATAGTTGCCCAGATGTCAGCCCTACCAATCAAAAGCAGTAAATGAAACATATGATTTTTCCATTTAAAAAGGATTTAAAAATATTCTCAAGACAGTTCTGAATCTTATTCCACTCATTCCAAATTCAGAGACTTAGGTGGCTCCCACAATGCATGGAACAATTTTATTATCAACTCCTTGCTATCGTTATGAAATTGAAATAGAAAGAGAAAATTTCTCTGAAAAAAGAACGTACATTTTCTTCATTTTAAAAAGAACAGCATTAACCAAGTTACTATGATGACAAACCTGAGCTCGGTAATTCCATTTGAAGGTAGTAATTAACTAACAAATTTACCTTGAAGGAGTGAAATTGTCTGACTGAGAGTTGAAGTTTCTTAAATCAAAACATGTCATGGCAATGAGCTAATTATACAATACAGTCCCATACCTGACCTACTCTAGTAGATGTTGAAATGATCTCATACAAACAATCCTTTGAGCGTGGAACTGCTCTGGCCAATAGCATGTAACTCTGTTATCACAAAGACTTTTATCCACACCTGAAATCAATCAGGCTGACTCTGAGGAATAGGCCAGTTGCGTATGATTGCCAACTGACTGGTCATTAAATGACTTATTCTTCTCCTTTTAATTCCGCATGGGAAAGGCATCCCCTAATAGATTTACTTTCCATGAATATTTTTCTTTAATTCGTGACTTGGAGCAGGTAGAAAGCAAAGTATGCTTTTTCCTGTAGTTAAATCTGTCCGAGATGTGTTAGTTATGCATTGAAGAACAGGGGGAAAGAAGGCACTGCTTTCACAACCCCCCCTAGTTCTGAACAGTCTACTCATCACACGTACACACACACATACACACACATAATCACTCTTCCTGTCTACATATCTAACCTCTTTCCCTCCCTAGAGGATTTGCTACATGTTTATAATGCCTTTCCCTCTATTCTTGTCCAAAACTGAATTATTTAAAGACATGTTCACCATGACTCAGAAGATGGGATTTTACTTATATAAAAAAGTAGGGGGTGGGATTCCTGACTTCTTACTTACAAAAGAAAAATAATCCCAATACATTTAATAAACATTGCATAAATATTTGTGGTATAAATGAAGGAAGAAAGGCATTATAACCCCTTACCCCTAAACAGTGATAATATCCCAAGAACCAGAGACTCACAAAATCCAATTTACTCTACTTCCTACCCTTCTGTTCTCCATTTCTCCTACTGATAATTGTGTATACTCATAAGCGTTGGTTTAGAGAGGGAAACAGCTTTCATTTTTTTAAAGGAAGTTGTAAACATAGCCACATTTTTTAACAACCTTTTTTTTTTTAACGATGTGAGGTACAATTCAGGATTAGGTACATTAGTGATCACGGTACAGATGAAGTTTGGGCCTCCCTTTGATACTCACTTCATCTGGTTTGAGGTCAGGTACCTTTATTGATGTGATGTGTCCCCCCTTCCTCCCTCCCCTGGCAGTGCCCGCTACTGCCAATCCCTTTCTTATAGTATTATAAGAAATGTTCAGGATGTGCTTAGGAGTGAGAACATGTGGTACAACTTTTAAATGAACACATTAAACTCAGCAGTACTTAGTTCAGCAATGATACTTTTTAAGGGAAAAAAATACCTTGATATGATCCAAAAATATAAACACAGATCAACAGGTTTATACATAAAATAATCTTTTGCTAAAGATGACAACGAGTTTATCAAAGCCCTTTTGAATGGAAGGCAAGTTAGGTTTTGTACATGGTGTTTCTGAATGCTGTGATCCCACATCCTATCCCCCAGACCAAAAGTTTGTAGATTTGTCAAACGCACTTGTATATTCAGCTCAGGTTTGTCCCCCTTGCTTTTTCCTGTGATAATTTTTAAGAATATAAAGTACTCTTAGTTTTCTATTTTGCTGCTTTACTCTACATCTCATTGTGTGTAACTTTAAACTAAATCTAATTTTGCTTTTAAAGCAACATAACATTAAGAGGCTGACAAAGAATAGATGACTAATATGGGAACAAAATTATTAAACATCATATTAATTCTTCCAAATAACTTATAGTCTTCTTCATTCTGCCTAAAAGCTCAAGTCATTTGGATAATAAATCAATATACTGGCCTCTAAGCTTGCCTTTTTGTACTGGGTTGACTTTCTATCCCAATATGCATTTAAGGACATTTCACAAAAAGAATTCAAAATGATTCTTATTTCCATGTAGGTGTTTCCTCAGCAGCCTGGAACACCGGGCATGGCTAGTTTGAGCCTTGAGGTATGTATGGTTAGAGTTGTTACATAATAATTTTACATAAGTATGTTCATGATAAGGGAGAAATATGACGGGCTATTTCTCAGTTTTCTTAGTCAGTGGTCTGTGGCTGTCATCCTGAACAGTTCTAGAAAAGTATACTTATTCGCGCTTTGTCTTATAATTTCACTGCAGTTTTAAACTCTTGGGTGTTTTAAGCTTTAGAATATTGTCTATATGCAAATCAAAGTAATACTAATAATTAATATCTTCTGGAAGTTTTCATAAATAATATATACTCTGTTTAGAAAACTCCAACCAAACAGAAGTTTTTGACCATACCAATAAAAAATACTGAGTTATAAATAGATATTTATAAGATTATAAATGTTTCATAAGGTCTTGCAAAATGTCTTTGTATCATGACAATCCGAGGGTAATCGATATTTATTTGGGCTAGATGCTTATTTCACATGGACACTAACTTCACTGAGGTGTTTTGTTTCTGTTTGTTTTTTTCTCACTTTGTGGCTTAAATAAATCCTAAGCACTCTAAATCTCTTCCCATTAAAAAAGTGAAGTTCACTTTCTACTGAAATGGCTGCATTCTTGATTATCCAGATACTTAGTATTTCTTTTCTTGTGTATTATATTTAATTATTTTAAGAGTTTTTTTTTAATTTGGGAAAGAGGTAAAGATTTTGTTTGTTTCTGTTATGTTTATCTGGTTGTTTCTGTTTTGTTCTGGTTTAGGTTTATTTGAAATGGGGTCTCAAGCTGGAATACATAGCTTGCTGCCCAAGCTGGAGTTCAGTGGCAGGATCCCGGTTCAAACTCTCAGACTCAAGCCATCTCCAGCCCCAGGCTCCTGAGTAGCTGGGACCACAGGCACGCGCCACAGTGTCCAGCTTTTTTTTTTTTTTTTTTTTTTTTTTAAGAAATGAGGTCTTACTTTTGTTGCCTAGGCTAGTCTCGAATGCCTGGGCTCAAGCAGTATTCTCGCCTTGGCCTCAAAGTGCTGAGATTACAAGCGTGAGCCACCATGCCCAGCTGTTTGTTTTTCAAATGCCTCTTTTAACTGAACTTGGAAAAGGCAAAAGAAATTAAATGAGGAGAAAAGAATCAATGAAGCAATATCTTCATAAGTACATTTGTATTTCAGTTGGATGAGCTATTTTCCTATGTTTTCATGTAACCTCCACTTCAATACTTTTTCTTCTTTAATTAATGATAAAAGCACCTCATTATTTTAATAGCAATAATAGCAATGCAGAACCACATTTAATATTTTCACCTTTCACTTATGCTTCGTGTCTACTTTTGTTTCATTAGATGGATCCAACCCAAACTTTGTGTTGATAATGTCAAATATCATGAGAAATTTGTGTCAAAAGAACATATGTGATACTAACCACTTTTTTTTTAATAGACAATGAGACAGTTGGGAAGTTTGCAAGGATTAAACACACTTTCTCAGGTAATTATATGTTCAAATATAATTTTTTGCGAGTATTAATGGTGGTGGTGTTAATACTAGCAGCAACATTGTAATTCATAACAATCGTTTGTGAATAGACAATATCCTAAATATTGGAAGAACAAATAAGTAATTAAGATAGCCTAAAACAAAATAAGATAAGGTGACAAATAAAACAATATTGAGTTTTCTTAGTAAAAAGAAAATCAGTTCTTGCATTATTGATGTTATTATATGACCCAAAACACAAGTGCTTAAGAAATTGAATCGTAATCAAGTTTATGGGAATAATACAGTCTGGCTCAAAATGGAATTTAAATGTGTTGGAAAGGAGAGTTTACTTATCCATTTTAAAGTAGCCAACACCACTTTTACTTTTGCTATCTCTATGCTATTTGTGGAATTTTTGGAAAATGAAAGTCAAGTATAACTGATATGATATTGAACACTGAATTATCAGCATGTCTTTCTTTTTCTCCATGTCTTTAGTATTCCAGATTTGGCTTTGGGAAATCATTTAATTCTTTGTGGATGCATGGTCTCCTACCACCACATTCCTCTTTTCCATGGATGAGACCAAGGGAGCATGAAACTCAACAGGTAGGTGAATTACATCAGTGTGTTTGCAACTTCAGGCTTTAGAATCTTTCCTTACTTGCAGTCTCTAAGTTGTAAGATACTAGAAATAGACAAGTACTAGCAATTAACAAAAAAAAGATCCTCATACCAAATAAATCAAAGTCTATTACTGCTTTTAGTACTCCGGAAATTCTTTTAAAGGTTTAACTTATTTCCATAGTTATGTAACATAGGAAGATAGAGCCTCCAAAATATAAGAGAACTATATTAAAGCTATCATCAGTCATAACAATAGATAAACAATTCTCAGAAATGAAAGTAGGCTCCATTCCAGACACGTTTCATTTAAGTCAAGACTTCCTAAATAATCACTAAGGGCTAATTTCAAATGATCACAAGTATCCTGGTTAAAAAAGCACAAGTCCTATGAAAGTCAATAAGTATATCAATCTGTGAATAATAAGTACACAAAACAAATCACAGTTTGGTAATAAAAGAGAAGTTTGGGTTTTTTTTAATCAAAGTCTCACCCTGTCGTCCCAGCTGGAGTCAGTCCAGTGGTATACTCACAGCCACTGCAGCCTCTACCTGAAGGACTCAGGCAATCCTCCTGCCTCAGCCTTCCAAGTAGCTAGAACTACAGGCGCACGCCACCACTCCCGGCTAATTTTATATTTATTGTAAAGAAGAGGTCTCGCCAAGTTGCCCATGCTAATCTTGAACCCATGGGCTCAGGTAATCCTCTCACCTCAGCCTCCCAAAGTGCTGGTATTATAGGTGTGAGCCACCACGCCCAGCCTACAAAAGGGAAGATATTTAAGAAAGGCTCCAAGGATCTGAAATTTCAGATCCTATCTAATTCACATAAGGCAGGAAAACATAGTTGAAGGTGCTAAATCGTGAGACGTGAGTAAGGAATAAGGAATGCCTTAGCTCAGAGAAGAATGATGCCTGAAGAGGCATAGCAGAGCCAAGTGGTCCTGAGATTTCCTTGTCAATGTGAGGAATTTGCAACCCATCTGCAAGAAGTAGCGAGCCATTTGCCACAAGCATTTTCTAAAAGAAGCAAGAAAGAAGCATGGCTTTAACAGAAAATCTTATTGCCAGCTGGTCTGCCACACGAGAGGTATTACCCAGAAAGCCACAGTTAGTGGGACAGTACATGTTGTTAATAGTGATGGTTTCATCCCTTGATTGTTTCCAAAATAGACTCCAGCTGCGCGTGGTGGTACACGCTTGTCATTCTAGCACTTTGGGAGGGGGAGGCGAGAGTATTGCCTGAGTCGGGTGTTCGAGATACGTCTGGGCGAGACCTCGTCTCTACAATAAATCAAAAATTAGCTGGTCATGGTGGCGCACACCTGTGGTTCCAGCTACTTGGAAGGTTGAGGCAGAAGGATCGCCTGAGCCCAGCAGGTCGAGGCTGTAGTGGCCATGATTGTGCCACTGCACTCCAGCCTGGGTGACAGAGTGAGACTCCAACTCAAAAAAAAATGTTTTAGGATAGACTATGATGCAGAAATTTCATTTCATATGTATTTAGTTACCTATTATCCTTTCACTAACTCAAAAAATACATTAAGTACCCACCTTGGGCCAGGTACTTGTTAGGAGCTATGTCAAATACAGAGGCTATAAAGATAAACAAAGCATATTATTCTCTCTCTGTTGACCAGGGGACAGGATTTATAACAAATAATTCTAATCCAGCGAGAAAGTGGTAGAATAAGGGTACATCCAGGCGGCTATGGGAACTCAGAGAAGGAAGCGACTCATTCTACTCAAACACCCAGGTAGCTTATCCTCTGCATGAGCAATGGTGATCCCAAAGGAGGTAGGGAAGGCAGGCACACAAGGTCTCCCCAAAGGACACTGACTAAGCAAATTGGTGCTTCTGTATAAAAACAACTTCCAGACAAGTGCCCTAAGCCTCCCTTGCAGACACACCGCACCTCGAGCCCTCTTGCTTTAGAAATTCTAGGTACCACTGTTAACGATTCCTCCCTTCCTGACACTCTTTTCAAATTTCTCTGCAGTATGAATATGCTTTGCCTGTGCACCCCCCGCCTCTCCCATCACTGCCAAACCAGAAGCCTCAACAGCCAGTATTGAAAGCCCTCCACCAGCCCACAGCCGCAACCGCCCTCCAGGCCACAGAACAGCAGGGAGAGGCCCAGCCTCCGATTCTCCTGGGACAGCTGCCCTTACAGGAAGGCGAAGTGCCTGCAATCAAGCAGATTCAGCAGCAGGTGGCCCCATCAGATAAGCCTCCGAAACTTGAGGTACCATGCTTCCTCTCTCTGAAGTCAGAATCAGGAAGAACCCCAACCTTCATGAACGGGATCTCTTGTTCTCATAAATATTTTTCATACTAATCCATCCAATTTGTAGGTCACCCTTAAATAAGCATAGCCCACAGGCATAATGCACAAAAAGATAAATATGTTCTTCATCAGCCTTCCATGTCTGAGACTTATTTTCTGAGTAGAACATAGATATCCATTCTTGTCCTTTGCCATCAGTGACAGAGCACGGATTAGAAAAGATTCTGTGCCTTTAGAGCGTGGTTTCTTCTTTGTAAAAGATGAAAGCTTCCACAGAAATAAGGCAGCCAGAAAAGTCCAGGCTTCCAATCACTGGTTTTTTAGATGGTTTTTTGGAAAGACTAAAAAGAGTGATTGTAGGATTTTGCATTATTACCTCTCTGACAGAGAGATGACCATCATGCAGAATATCTTGTCATAATGCAAAACAAAGTGCAATAGACAAAAAAAGAAGGTACCATATGACTAGTATGTGGCAGTCATTTAACATTCTCTCATATCATCCTAGCTACAATCTTATAAAAATAGATAGATATTATCAGCCTTTTTAAAGAGAAGAAGGCAGGTTTTCAGAGGTTACAACATGTGCCCAGAATTACACAAAAACCAAGTGGCAGAGCCAGGATTCAAAGTAATCGGGTATGTTTCAGTTCGAGAATTTGCTATCTCTCACCCTACAAGAGGTAGTCAATCCGTGATTAGACATGCCTCATCCATCTGCTGGCACACTTACACTGAGTTAGAAAAGACAGTTGTGATCTCTTGGGTTGTATCCCCTAGAAGACCAAAAGAAAGTAAAATAGAAGAATTCGTTTTGGATTGTTTTATTGTCATTGTAGGCAAGATAAGTGTTGTTCAGTTCACTTGTCTATTTTGACTGGTAATTCTAATATTTCTCTGTGATATAGCTCCCAGTAATGGATTTTGCTGACCCACGAGGTCCCTCAGTAAGTATAAATCTCAGTGAGACACTTTCTTGGGGAAAATATCTCTCTACTTCAAAAAAGAAAAGTAAATTTTTTTAATTGTCTCATACATCCATGAATATGAAGTATAACAGGATCTCTTGTTCTCTTAAATATTGAACACTTATTTTTCATACTAATCCATTCAAAAATGTGTTTCCTATACCTTTTAGAAATTGCTATCGTGGGGATTTGTCTGTGTGTGGATTACTTATTGTATTTTCTACCATTTTAAAGGTGTTCCAAATAGCTCGTTTGATATCTCAGGGACCAGTGCCACAAAATAAACCATCTCCAGTAAGCTTTTTTTAAATACCACTTCTCTGTTTGCAATTTACTTAATTGTTTTTCCCTTGGGCAATGCATTTTACAATAACTACTCTATTTTATTTAGCTTTTTCCAGGAATGTTTTACATGTCCTATGGAGCAAATCAATTGGTAAGTCCATATTCTATAAAAAGTGTCATTTTCAATTAAATGTTATCTTCAAAGCTAAAGTTATAAAATCCAGGCCTCAAACAAGAGATTCCAAGTAAATATTCTCTGAAAGCCTCCATTAGCAACTGAAATAGTAAGGAGACACACTTCTATTTAGATAATTCTGGTCAATCTCTCTCTCTCATTCTCTCTCTCTCTCTCTCTCTCTCTCTCTCTCTCTCTCTCTCTCTCTCTCTCTCTTTCTCTCTCTCCCTCTCACACACACACACACACATGAGCATTAAAGAAAAAACAAAATTTAGATCTGAATTATTCAAGTTGGCTACATTTATTCAACAATGACTCACCTCTGCACTTTACCTCTGGATGTACATTAATATTAAGACTTAAGAGAAAACTAAATGACTTGTAACTTTATCTTAAGCAGATAAGATGGTACTAGAAGGCAGCTGGTTGATAATATGATCCACTGTTTCTTTTTGAACAGAATGCCCCCAGACTTGGCATCATGAGTTCAGAAGAAATGGCCGTGAGTAATGTCTTCTAACTCTACTAAAAATAATGACCAGGGAAGAACAGTCATAAGTGACTGGCTGCAAGAGACACCGGCCATGAATGTAGTCAAATGAGCAAGGGACTTAGATTTTTCCACTGCAGAAACAAAAGCTTGAGCCCTAAACAGTATCCAAAGATTTCATCACGTTTTCTATTGAGTCATTCATTTCAGAGTGATGACCATCGAGTTTTGCCCTACTCCTGGTATAAGAGCAGAGGAGAAATTTCTCCTGAAAGGCCATCAGCATTGAACTATAAATGCTTCACATCAAAAAATGATATGTGCTTCAGAGTTTCTGTTCCTTCTATGACCATTTAATACCTCAAAACACCAAATTTAACAGCATTGCAAGTAATTCAGACCTCAACATTGAAAGATCCCCCAAAAAAAGAAAGTCAAGCAAGTTTAAAATTTGGTTATATAAACTGCAATGTACATCAAGTCAATGAGAGTATATTCTTATTCTCTTATCATTACTCATGCAGTCATATTACAAATTTAAGATTTGAGATCAATAGTGACCCAACCTGACTTTTTCCCTCAGAAATGTTTGCCTAATTACATCTGTTAGAGCACAAAGGAAGACAAAACAAAAACCATACTAAACTAACAAATCGCTGTCAACTGCAGATCCTATCAAATTAATAAATACATATACACAAGCAATCAACGGGGGAAAAAACTTTCATCTCAACATTTTTGAGGGACTTCTATATACCAGACGCATAGAAAGATACCATAGGCAAGATGAGACTCTTGTGCTCAAGGAGCTTATAGTCTAATGAATGGAAAAAACCGGTACAAAGGCAGATAATGCCAATATCATGGGCTAAGGGTAACAGCAATCTTACTAGAGGGAAAGAGGAAAAGAGGAAATGCAGTTGGGCCAACCATGAATTCACAGTGCCATTTTTGGAGGATATGAAGAGAAAACTGAAACAAGAGTGTGAAGAGCAGGAAACTAGTGTATGGACACAACGCCAACACAACTGGCCAGAAGTTCCAGATTTAACAATATTAATTAAGTTATAAATATCCTGGCTCATTCCCCAAAGATTTCACAGAACTTATTAAATAACACACAATAAATATAACCCCTCAAAAAACTGAAAGTAGGATTTAAAATGAGTCATATTGTGAGGATATCAGAACACAGAGAAGTCGCATAGTCCTGCTCATCTGCTACAAATCACCTACAATGTTGGTCACGATATTTGGGACAGCAAAGGTAGAAAAAGAAACATACTCAATTTTGAAAGTCTATTTGTCCATAGGAAGAAAATATTTTAGTTCCTACAGAGAAATCAAGCCTTTTCTATACTTTGTGCAAACACACACACAACAACAACTCTGACATGAGACTTCATTCCTTTGGGGCACAATGAGAAATGCCTTTGACAAGATCCTCCAAAACATCCCTCAACAAATGCGGTCATGGATTTCAGTTTTCGTTTGTTGTATGATAATAGTACCCATTTCAACTGTGTATCATTTTCTTAGAATTGAATTCACTCTCACTTTGCCCCACATCTTGCTTCGGCTTTGCTCTCCACTGCATCCTTCTTGCCAGGCATAGTGAAAGTTCTCTATCGTCCTTTCAAGGTAGTGGCCTCCCCCCACTCAAATAAATGCAAAATCCTCTCCTCTCCATCCTATTTCAAAGCCAGTTTATTAAGAAATGTCAGCCAACTCCCCGTTCTCTATCTGTTTTTTAGTTTCTCAGTGAACATGAACAGCACGTGATAATGTTGTCTTCAATGGATGTTTTCTTTGCAGGGAGGGAGAGGTGGACCTCTGGCCTACGGAGCCATGTTCCCAGGATTCGGAGGCATGAGGCCCAGGCTAGGGGGAATGCCCCACAACCCAGCTATGGGTGGGGACTTCACTCTGGAATTTGACTCCCCGGTGGCTGCAACCAAAGGCCCTGAGAAGGGAGAAGGAGGAGCTCAAGACTCTCCCATGCCTGAGGCCAACCCAGCCCATCCGGAAAACCAGGCCCTCCTTCCAGAACTGGGTCCTGGGCCCCACGCAGGGCTCCTTGCTTTCTCCAAGGACAATGTTCCCAGCCTGGCAAGGGGCCCTGCAGGACAGAGGAAGGGCCCCCCCAGGGTCACCCCAGCAGCCACTGACCCACTGATGACCCCTGAATTAGCTGATGTTTTTGGGACCTATGGTGCTGACATGACCACACCCCTGAGTTTCCAGGAAGAAACAATCATGGATACCTCAACAGCCCCAGACACTCAGCAAACATCCACACCAGAAAACAAAGTCCAGCAGTCCGAGAATATGCATGATGCATGGCATTTCCAAGAGCCCTGATGGCCCTGAGATATCAGCTACCTTCTATGTGTACAAGCTTCCCAGCTTTGTCCCCATAGTATACGTTTTCACTAAAACACATATCATTACCCTTCTGCAGCAAAAGCATTAAAAGCACTAAGCATGTATGAATAAATACAAGTGGCTAGAAATAGTGTAGGTCCCCTTCTTGCTTTCAATATCTTATCGAAATAAAATGGGTCAACCGTCTCTGGGGTTTAGAAATACTATTAATAACATCAGAGCAAGCCAAAGAGTCTCAGTATCTGATCATCACTGTTTCTCGGCTGTCTTGAGCACTGTAGAATTTCTCTTACTAGCATGACACTTTTATATCCAGGAAATGTGTCTCTGATTTTTTTCTCTAAGCAAAGGTACATATTCTCAGAATTCTAAGCTGATGCATTTAAACTTTATTAAATGGTGATTGGTGGAGAACTCCTAACTGTATTACTAGGTTTGGTATATTGAATTTAAAATTCTCATTTGTAGAATATTTTATTTAATCTAGTGAAAGAAAAACAGCCATCTAGCCTATTTTAAATAAAGATTTTTTTTCCTCACTGGAAATATCACGAATTGTATGCTTATTATTTGTATACACATAAATGGCTTAAGAAAAGCATACTCATCCCCTACCTTTGCTACTCTTTAATTCATTTTCTTCAGTTCATTCATTCTTTCAGTAGAAGTTTACAGATTTATCTATGTCTTAGTCACTGTGCAAAGCATCAGGGAGAGAGAGAGTCCCCTGCCTTCAAAACTTGCCATGGGCATGATTGACAAGTAGACAGTCACCATAATAACAAAACTCTGGGCCAAGCTCAATTACTTTACATACATTATCCCACCACAGTTCTGCAAAATAGACGCACTAAACCCCACAGCACATGTAAAAAGTGCTATGAAAAGGCCACACCCTAGGGTGCCCCTGGAGCCACAGAGAAGAGGTACCCAGCCCAACTTAAGGGGCATTCGAAGGGCTGGAAGGGAGCCAACAGGTTTTCTCAGAAGAGCGTCTGAAATGTCTGCAGAACTAGGTCTCCAAGAGGAGGAAACTCAAAGAGTTGTGTGGGTGACAAGTGAGATGGGCTCTTTCCTGTGAAATATACTGTGGGATAAAAGGAATACGGAAACTAGCCCTTGATTGCCAGCAGGGTTAGGTGTGTATCAATCAGAGACAGATGTCTAAATTAAGAGGTTCCAAGCCTGGATCTGGTCACCCCTTAAAAGTAGCCTCCACCTTCTCCTAAGTTACCCAGCCCAGGTCTTGAACTCCGTGAAACTCAGACTCCCCTCCATCCCTGATTCTACAGGTACAGCCCAGGAAAAAAAGCCCTGAAATACCCCCCAGCCTGGGATATCTCAGGAGTTTTAACAGGAGCAGAAGCACGTAGCCACCACCTATTTCTTCCTCTTATTACCTCACCCCCACTCCACAGACTAGCGTGAAAGAGAGAAAACATTCAGTTTGCTTACCCTGGTGGCTCTGGCAAAGGTGTGAGGATGGGAGAATGACCTCCACAGCTGCCAGCAGATACCCACGGAGGCCCAACGTAGCATCCCAGTCTCCTGAAAAGCCGTGTGGTACAAGACACACAGACAGGTCTGGGTTCAAACCTTAGTATCATGTCTTCTCATATGTGAGACTTGAGATGTGAAGCTCAATCTCTCTGTGCCTGTGTTTTCGTTTCTTTATGGAGCTATGACCTAGCACACAGACTTATCAGAAGAACTAGATGAGATAAACTGCACAGAAGAAATTGCTGGATCACAGCAGTTTCCTTCTTTTCCAACTGATTCTTTTCTTAAAGAGAACAGCGGAAGAATGGACGTGTTTCCTGATGAACTTGTGCTTTCCTCTTTTTTTTTTTTTTTTGAGTTGGAATCTCACTTTGTCGCCCAGGCTGGAGTGCAGTGACACGCTCACAGCCACCACAGCCTCAACCTGCTTTGCTCAGGCGATCCTTCCGCCTCAGCCTTCCAAGTGGCTGGAACTACAGGCATGCACCACCACATCTGGCTAATTTTTTAACTTATCATAGAGACAACATCTCACCAAGTTGCCTAGGCTAGTCTTGAACCTGTGAGCTCAGGCAATCCTCTCTCCTCCACCTCCCAAAGTGCTGGAATTACAGGCAAGAGCCACCGCATCCAGGTAACTTGTTTTTTCCATCTGCACTTCACCCATTGTCCTGTTGGCTCTTCTTTGTAATTCAGAGCATTCATTTGTGGGACCACTAATGCCGGTTTCCCTGATGAATATTGTCCTATTGGGGGTTGGTCTTCCTCATTGGCCACCTGAGCATTTAATCGTAGTAATAGCTAGATGAACTTCAATGAAGATATCATGTTATTGAGCCCTTGAATAACTTCTTTTTTTTTTTTTTTGAGTTGGAGTCTCACTCTGTTGCCCAGACTGGAGTGCAGTGGCAGCTCCTGGCCACCGCAGCCTCGACCTGCTAGGCTCCGGGGCGGGATTACAGGCTGAGCCACCATGCCCGGCCTGAATCAAAACTTCTATCCCTGCCACCATTGTCCCTTCAGACCCTGGCCCATTGGGCAAACACAAGATGGCCAAGGAAAGAAGCTAAATGTCACCCTCAAGAGGGATAATCTTGATTTCAAGAATTTCCTCAGGGTCAGTGAAATACCCTCCCCACCCCTCAGCCCCATACACACACACACACTCTCAGGCATCAGACATACTCATGCTGTTATCTCTTCTGGACTGTGAACTCTCTGGCCACACCCACAACTTCACCTTCAACGTAAAGAGGATGAGGCAGAGCACATGCTGGCATTGACCATGCTCTACCTCACCAGTGGGATCAAAGATGAGTGAAGTATGACACAAGTTGTGACCTAGAACCATGACCAGCTGAGACTGTAGTTCCCGTGGCCAACCTAGAGTTGTCCTGCCAATCCATGTTACTTTCAGCAATGACATTTCTGAGGAAGAGGGTGAGAAAGAGGAGAAGAAAGTTATCCATCAGCCGGGCTCGGTGGCTCAGCCTGTAATCCCACGCTTTGGGAGGCTGTGGTGAGTGGATTGCCTGAGCCCGCGGGTTTGAGACCCGCCTGGGCAGCGAGATCTCATCTCTACAATAAATCCAAAAATCTGCCAGGCATGGTAGCGCATGCCTGTAGTTCCGGCTACTCGAAAGGCTGAGGCGGAAGGATCGCCAGAGCCCAGCAGGTCGAGGCTGCGGTGGCCGGGAGCGGCCACTGCACTCCAACCTGGGTGACAGAGTGAGACTCCAACTCAAAAAAAAAAAAAAAAAGAAAGTTATCCATCCTGCCAAAAAGCAGGGGGTAAGCCCTAACCTTTCTTGATCAGCTAGCTGCTGGCTACATGCACCCACCATGTTCCCAGACAAGTTTCAAGAATTGTAAATGCTGCTTCTTTGCTAAAGAGGAGAGTTTGAGGTGGGGGGATTTGGATCTGTGCTGTGAGAGAAGGGGGCCTATTCTCCACAGGACCTGGTGAGCTACTCCTGCACCATGCCTGGGGTTTCCCTTTTCTCTAGGGGTAGGAGGATCTCTGAACTCTAAACTGATCCTCTCTCCCCACCTGCCAGTGAGGACTATAGGTTAGTACCTGAAGCTCAGAACTACACATTTTTAACCTGCTTTACATTTTCAGTTAAAGATTGAAATAAAATGATTGGGGGGAGTGAAAAAAAGAGCAACTTCCTCTACTTTCGTTTCCCTCTACCAGGCATTTACATGAGAAAGAAACAAATATCTTCATACCAATTCCCATTCTGAAAGGGTTATCCAAATAATCTGTCTTCTAGACTCTTCTTTATCACCAAACTTTCAGTTTTATTATTTCCAAGTCCCTGACCAGGTGACCAATCTTGTACTAACCCTGAGTCAGTGTAGATCTGTATCTCAGGTCATCTCTTCTTCCATACAAAATAGACGACAAGAAATACCATTTAAAGTTCTGCTCCCTGAGTGGGTTGTAGTGCATTGACTGTCCACTTTCAGCTGAAACCTGAATACCACCCAGAAATCCACTCCATCAATTGGTCACAAGCAGGGTAGCCATATAATTGATCCTCCAAACCGGGACACTTCTAGCAATGAAATAAGGCTGTCAACATTAATGATTATGTTGGCCAACAAGTATAAACCAGCACTACCTAGAGCAAACCTGGACGTCTGGTTATTCCAGTCATATGAAACTCCCCATTGAAACAAATGTATATGTTAAGGGAAAGACATCAAAGTTATCAGGAGGAAGTACATAGCAATGTGAATCACTTGCAGCCAGATGTGGTGGCTCACATCTGTAATCCCAGCACTTTGGGAGGCGGAGACAGGAGGACTTCTTAAGCCTAAAAGTTCAAGACCAACCTGGGCATCATAGCAAGACCTTATCTCAACAAAAAATAAAATAAAATAAAATAAATATCTGGGTATGGTGGTGCATGCCTGTAGTCCCAGCTATTTGGGAGGCTGAGGCAGAAAGATCACCTGAGCCCACTAAGTTGGGACAGCAGTGAGCAATGTTTCTACCACTGCACTCCAGCCTGGGTAACAGAGTGAGACCATAGCAAAAAAAAAAAAAAACAAGAAAGAAAGAAAAGAAAAAAGAAAAAGAAAGAAAAGAAATGAAATCTGAACCACTTGCTAATGAAACTTACCAAAGCCCTTTAGACCTACTGTAGCCTGATGTCATAATTATTTCCATGTATTATAGAATGAAATGTTGCTGTTTATGTTCAACTTTATGGTTCACTGGATCATATATCACCTAATTCAAGATGGACAACTAAAATAACATAATCACTTGGCATCCCACAGTCAGGCACACTGTCTCTCTCAGGGCCCAGTAGCAAGGCAAGAACTGCTTTTCAGAAGGAAAACTCTGTGGTTCTGTGCTTCTATTCTCCTACCAGGGCTTGCCACAGGTCCCATACAGCTCAATATATTTTATTCTTAATGCCCAAGAGGCAGGAAAGATTCCATTATAGCCTGGATCCCTTTTA